CTTCTTTCTGTTACGTCTGAGATAAATAATAATTTGTTTACCGTGAGCGGATGAGCTCTGTTATTACAAGTGAGAAAACTAAGGGACACAGAACAACTACAAAGTTGTCTAACATATTCGGTTGTCATAGAACAACTACAAAGGAAGGTGAAATATAATAAAAAGTGTATTTCTAAGAAAAATGCAATTGCTTCCGCATTAACAGCTTTCAGCCGAAAATGTAGACAACAATAAATACAGTTTGTTCACCGAACCTACTGCTTCAGCAATTCAGTCGGAAATAGTCTGTAATGAAAGTTCCTGTAATGCTGTAATATCCAGTAGCAACACTCATCAAGGCCTTTCAGCATCAACTGCCTTTCGATTTTAGAGTCTCAGAAATTAGAATCTTACGCGAGTACATTTCAAATAGCGAAAGCTGGAATTATCCTTGGCGCTTTCTGCAAGTACTTACCACACCTACCTAAAAGTGTCCGAAAAGTGTTAAGAACATGCCAAAATTTGAAACCAAAATTGCATAGCAGTGGTGTTCATCACTGTATTGGATTAAAAATAACCTGCTAAGATACGTTTGGCAACATTTATTCGCTTTTCATTTTGATTGACTGCATTTTCAAATAAATGTGGATGGACTACCGTTGTTTCGGAGTGCAAACGAACAGTAATGGCACATATTAGGTCTCGTTGTGGCCTCTATAATTAGCGATGTGTTCGTAATTAGAACAGTGAAGGGAACAAGAAGGCCGACAAATTCCAATAACTTTTTAACAGAAATCATTTTCGAAAGGAAGACTTGTTGGATAACCAGTTATTCATTCCAAAAACAGAATACCTCTAAATCTACTTTCTGTTATATATGACGCCCCTACACATGCCAATTTCAGGTAGACAATTAGTCACAGCAGGGCTGCTGGTTATGACAGATATACAGTTACAGGACGATGTCTCAACGGTATAATAACCTTTCGATGTGGCATATACGCCTTACGAACTGTTGATAGTTTCCACCAGAAGAAACAAGTGATTTATCGTCATCAGACCTCAAAAAGAAAAATCAAGAACATGAATTCACCGCTGTTCCTCATGTTTGCAGAAAAGTCATAAAGCCGGAATGTTTTTACTAATCTGTCAACTCGGATGTCACAGAAATGCAAGCCAGTTACAGCCGAGCAAATTTTCAACTGTTAGTAAGTCTGCTCTGTCCGATAGCGAAGTAAGTCTCATATCTTTGCTCCTTTTTTTGTAAAAGTTCAACCGAAGTCAAATTGTTGCAGTCAACAGCAGCTTTTACACTCGATAACAAAGCCATTTTAGATCAGTATTATCAATTTTAAATTGCTTTTGATATCATGATTTGCTAAATATCAGTCACAACAACGGTCAGGTGATATGGCTAAAAATTAGGTAAGTATGAAGCAGATGATCTTGATTCCAACACAAACAGCAGATCTGCCACCTTTTGGAATCGATGGATGATTGTTAATAGTGCAGTTCCCTATATTGAATGGAGAGATTGCAAGCATTAAGCATGTATCTACAGCCAGAAGCATGTCATAACTCTGTAAGTAATGCCATTGAGTATAGAGATTTTTGCCTATTTAGGTGACAATTATCGCGAGGTTGAGGGATAACCAACCTTGTAGTTCCCACAGAACTATACTATCATACATGATATAATCGAAACTGGCGACTGATTTCACACCAATTGGCACTTGCACAAAACGAAGTTTTTCTGAAGTTTCTATTTTACACCATTACATTAGGTCTACGTTTTACTTTCGGTTATTCAGGATATGCTTAAACATCAAAAATCTTGCAAAGGATTTCAATGACATTAAATGAGGGTTCCTTGAATATATGAGATAAAAATAAATTAACGATATTAAAAAAAAAGACAATGCAAGTGATAAACATTTTCATTACAATTTTAGGTGCGGTCCCGTAATCTCGACGACATAACCGTAAGTTTGACCGAATTTTACAACAATTTCGTAATCAATGTTTGATAACAACATATCTAACTTCCATAGTACATTCATTTTAAGAGTTTCAGCGATAAGAACAGTTTATGTTGATAAAGAAGGAAACATTGTACCAATTAGACATTCAACTTTAATCTTTTTAAATAAATGCAAATGTTTTCGCAAAAACTGTCAATAAGCTTTCTTTCAGTTATAATGCCTTTTAATTCATATCGATTGTGTAAACAAATTGTTTGACATAGGGAGATGCAAGCGAACTTCCCAAGTATATAATACTAATGTGTGTGCTGATTATGGGGGACAGAAGACATTTATTTGTAAGAAAGATGTGTTGATTTCAGAAGTTTAAACTAAATGAGGAATTGTGGGAAAATGTCACACAATTTAAACCTACTTTAGAAAAATTTGACGATTCGATGCGTTGTCACCTGCATTCAAAGGTTACCGAAAGATTCTTGTCGAAGTTCGCCTTTATTTCACAATTTCTGTTTTTTGGACTGGCATGCACTGAAGTCATGCTCTTATCACATATTTAGATCATTTTGCTAAGATAGGCTGCCAAAAGTTGATGAATGGAGAGTCCTAATCATGTGAAATTTTAATGGTAAAGTCTACAGTTCACTTCAGTTCGCTTTCTTCATTTAATAACATGTATATATCAATAAAAATAAAACCAAAGAATCCAAGCAAACAGATAGCGTATACGGATATATTCAGTTCAACTCTACTAATGTTTTTAGATATTCTTAGTTCATATATGCAATATATTTTTATTCCCTCAGAATACGTACCTGATTTCAGTTAATTAATAATCGAAGTTAAGCATCATAGTTGGTCAGATGGTATACAATAAAAGTATGAACAGATGATCAGTCACCATGGTTGGGCTAATGTGAGAAAAGGAAAGTTGCAAGATGTTTTAGTGATTCCACTGTTACGGTGAAAAACACAATTGGTCAAATAGCAACATTCATCATTACAATTAATAGTATCATTGAAGTTATAGCGAATTGAGAAAGCATAACGCCAATAGCTAAGTTAAATCCGTCAACAGGCAGAAATCAGAAGGTCAGTTGTGATTGAAGTTAAGTTATATTCTTTGGCAATCTCGTGGTATCTAAATAATACCAAGATCTGGCCAAACTTTACAGACGAGACTATCGAGAGAAGGTGAGCAAGCCCGAGGTCACAAAAAGAGGCAGCTGAGTGTTTTTGGTACAATAAAACAGTAGTAAAGTTAAGCGGTAACTGGTATGATCGGTTACACCAATAAATGTTTCAATTACAGCAGTCGCGTTCTCTTCATAAAAGTATTTCACTAGACAATTAATCCTCATTTTCATTTATTCGTAATTTTGTCATACACACCGAACTTTATTCTTTTTGTACATATTCTGACATTAAACTACAAACATGTATCTTCTCGTCTTTGCTGTTGCTATCTTGCTCTGGCTGCTTCTTACCTTCACTCACTAATCACCTGTTTATACTTTGTCTTGTTTCCTATCTGAATAAAAACATAATGTTCCACTTAGAATATCTGTTTACTAAATCAGATGTTTATTCAAAAATAAATTTTTATTAAGAGTCATGAATGGTATCCTCTTCTGACCCTGACTGAAATGAACTGAATCCAAGTTAATAAGGCAGTTTTGATGCCTAAATGACCGAAACTCTAAAAACTACTACCTGAGAAATATACGACTCCCCTCTTTAATTCTCGCTGATAAATCGCTCGGATTTGAACAGCATTTAAACTGGTCCACCATCATCCTAGCTGTAGAGGTACTCGAAGGACGGGCAGCACCGTGTCAACGTGGTCCGAAATATTTCTTCATCAGTAACGTAACGAAAACCATTGTAGGCCCTTTCCTCCCCCCACCGATCAAAGATCATGCAATCTAAAAATGCCAGGTTATGAACCTTCATAGCCAACGATGACAGCGGGCGTTCATTCAACACTTCAGTATGTAAGGCGACCCACTTGAAACATGTTTCAGACTAGACATAAGCCTAAGTAATCCTCCTCCAAATATGTCACAGTTTGAAAAAGATTTAAGAGATCTAGTAGCCTGTGGTCTAACGCGAACTGCTACAAAAATTCATATCGAGCAAATCCTACACTAACGCTGAACGACATCTTTGCATGTTTGGTAGTATAACGTTTGACCTGATCTTCGCCATCTTTATTTAGCCTTATTATTAGTATCGAAACAAAGTATCTCATCCCTCACTCCAGAAGGACAAGTACACAGTGAATCGTTTATAAAGGCGAGGCCTGAAGTCAGTTTGTAGGTCCGAACTAAAGCCTCATGATGTTTCACATCAATGGGTCCTTACTCATTAGAGTGTAGGCGTCACGGTTGTGACATTTACATTATTCATAACATTCGAACCAGTCCTTTGCAACCACTAAAATACTTATGCCTAGTTATTACACAAGCCTTTTTAACTGTATCCTAAAATTAGAAGGTACTACATCATAAAATAGACTTGAAGCATACCTACTACAACAGTAGTCGAAATCTGTAATTTCCTGCAGGATTATTTGGTCAGAGTGAATTTCCAGGCGTCCTTTAAAGGGAAACACATTGCTATATACTAAGGACAATATATCATCATTAGTTGGTGGTATTTCGCTTATGCTCGTTATATATACTTATGTCCCTACCTGGTGATATCGGTAGCTTACTTCTGTTAGATGCAATATCCATGGCGCTGAATTTTTTTCTACTGTTCACATATACTTGAATTATTTAATGCGTGAGGAAATGAAACAGTCTTAGGGATGTTACGGATGTCCAGAGTTGGACAACGAATCTGTCCTTAACCGACTTCTGGTGGAGAATACCGAAATCTAGGTTAAATCAGAAGTCAAGAATGAGGAGGATCTAAAGTATATTTCATTGATGTTGTGAGAGTAACATAAAGTTATTGGACACTAAAACACTAAGCTTGCCATTGCATAACCAAAAGCTTTCCCTAGATCTTTTCCTAGATCTGAAAAACTGATATATCGCCATTTAATCCTTAAACATATTTTGAGGTTCGAAAAAACTTTATAAGTATTAAGGCCTCGTAATGAGCGGGTCTTCGAAGTTCAGCGGAGTGGACGTCTTTTGATGGAGTTGAGTCCCGCTGACTCTGCTGACTGTTCGGTCCTGCAGAATAAGGAAAATAATGTGTGCAGTGAGCCAACAACAGACTGCTTGAATAGCAAGATTGTTAAACAATGTGAATTTTATTTCTCGGATGCAAATATTCTGAAAGATCAATATCTTCTAAATTTAGTCAAGTCATCCAAAGAGGGATGGGTGAATCTTTCTGTAATTGCGAATTTTAAAAAGATTCAATCTTTGTCAACGGACCTGGACGTTGTTCGACAGTCACTAACAGCCTCAACTAAACTTGAATTATCAGAAGATGGGACAACAATTCGGCGCGTTGACCCCTTACCCACATGGGATAGGTCCGTTTACTTCCGTACCATCATATTGTCAGACTTTCCAGAAAATTCAGATGTTACTGTAGAAAGTATTCAACAGTTCTTCACGGTAAGTCAGTTCTAAACTTCTCGGATAGAAGCAAAAGTTTGGAAATTTCAGTTGGTACTTGAGCAGTATGTATGTTTATCGTTTGTTTTTAACGTCGAGTGAGTTAGTCGAGCTTGATTATCTCTGTTAGCATCGAATTACGGTAATCCAGATGATGGTGGATGACGTAAATGCTTGCGCTGAAAGGACTTCCTCATCGAGTACGAACAAATCCTCAGTTCTTTTAGGTAGGGACCCAAGTGTAATAAACAAACAGTAGTAGAAGGAATAGTGGTGGATTTACGGCCATAAGTCCTTAAAAATGCACCCAGTTTCCTTTGAATAACATCAGGGAAGTTACCTGAACCGCTTCATCTGGTGATAAGTTTCAAGATGTGACTACTCGTAGAAATTGTGTGCATGCTCTCCAGTTACTGTTTGTACCTTTAATTTCAAGCTATTTTTTTCCGAGGCCCTTGTGAATAATGTACTCTATTCGGTGTTTAGGAAGTAATAAACTTAGAGCCTGTTAAAGACTTCTTGGCATAGTTTTATGCTTGTCTCGTCATCATTAAATACATCCGAGGTGCAATCACTGCTCCAGGCGCTCGATTTTTCTCTTCTGTTTTAACTATTCATTGCATGCTGTTTCCTGTAATGTCGCATATATCGTGTAAATTCCTAATTTGTTCCCATTTTGCTTCACAGGTAAATGGACATCCTCCATCTTTAGTTCGTGTTTTGTTTCCAAATCGCAAGATACCGTCTGATCTTAAACGTTCACAAATATTGCACAAGCAACTAGGTGTTAAGGTGTGCGCCGTTGTCGAATTCCCCAGTCAACCTGATGCATTAGAAGCAATTAATTTATCTCTCTCTCAGTGGGGGAACATTTATGCGTATCTATTGTGTAAGTTAAAAATCTTCCGATTAAATTGTTTATTAGTCTGCATTATATTTTTTTAGTAAAAACATGATAGTTCACTGACAGATGCACTGTTACGTCTTTCCATATTTTAGTTACGTAATTTCAATCTAATGATATTCAGTCAGTCAGTCAGGTACGACGTAGGACTTCATACTTACGTGCATCAGTTCAAGTTGTCATGCTATATTAGCACAGCGAGATGGATTTTGTCAATCCAATCACTGTAGTAGTAGAGATTTTAGCAGTGTTAATAATAATCATAAAGATTAGGGATCGAAGATATGATTCGAAAAGCATATCCCAGTGAAACTAACTCAGAAAGAGAAAAAATGTCATGAGGAATTAGATTAGAGTTTTAGAGAAGACAATTAAACAGATCCATCTCTGCCACTACAGACAATTTTGAGTCGTTTCATCAAAAGTCCCTACCCACCGGTTACGGTTGTCTCGTAGGCCTGAACCATGTAGTCAATATCTACTAACGTGGCTCAGTCCAGTTGTCAATGACTTTATGGATTCGTTCCACATTTTGATTTGGACGCTTCTAGCTTTCTTCCAGCCCATCTCTACGACAGACAACGTCGCTCATCGATGTAGGGGGTGATTAGGTATACATAACACCTGTCCCGATCATCTCTACTAGTGAAAATTGACTGTTTCACCAACTGATTTGCCATCCTTCCTAGTACCCTTCACCTAAAACCAGCATTGCCTACTCGGTTGTATACGAGTATATATATATATATATATATATATATATATACGGGCAATGCTTCAAAGACACCTATGATCGGTCGGCAATACTGACTATTAACCAACT